AATCTTGCCCCTGCATTCCCGTGTTGAGGAAAAGTCCCTGGAGAGGAACGTCATGGATTTAGAATCAGAGAACCCCAGAGCTAGAAGAGATCTCAGGAGTCAGCAAGTCCAGCCCCCTGCCCAAAGCAGGACCAACCCAACTCAACCATCCCAGCCTTTGGTCAAGATGGGACGGAAACACCTCTAGGGATGGAGATTCCACCCCCTCCCTAGGGAACCCAGCCCAGTGCTTCCCCCCCGCGCCTAGGGAAATCGTTTTTCCTAATCTCCAACCTAGACCTCCCCCACTGCAACGTGAGCCCGTTGCTCCTCGTAGCCCCTGGGAGACCCGGCTTGTAGCTCCCTTCAGTGTCACCATAGCCCTGCTCTTACCACTAGACATCACTCCCTTCACAGAGCGGGGGAGAGAGCCCTGGAGTCCTGGCTCCCAGACAACACACGGCTGTTATGAACAGCTCCAGCACCACAGCCCTCCCAGTGCCAAGAACAGTTTGTGCCAAGCAGCGAGATACTTCCAGTCCTTCCTGAGCACCTGCTGTCTCAGCCCCGACAAACTCACCATACCCAAGGCCCCGCTGCCCTGAGGTTTGGCCCTGCTGGTTGGGGTGGAAGGGGTCTACTGAAAGCTGGGATCTCCTCCAGCCATGTGCTCCGTGTGAGCATCTGTACCTGGAATTACCACCCAGGGAATCTCTCGGCTCGGGGCCAGCCTGTTCCTGGAGGAGGAGTCTCTCCACGCTCCCTGGCCAGCTGGGGATGGAAGAGGAGGTGGGTCCCTGGCAGGGTCCAGCCCCTGGACACACTCATCCCTAGAGACCAGAATGTTCAACTGCGCGTTCACTTCACCCAAGCTAGGAAAGCGTCTTATAAAAACCCCTTGAATGTTCAGACTCCGAGATCCGTGCATATTGGTGCCTGTTCTAGCCGCACATGCCGTGTCTGTGTTCCATGCTGTGCGGAAACAAATGAGTTTTGCTTTATCCCCATGATGGATCTAAGTCACTCATCCCTAGAGACCAGAATGTTCAACTGCGCGTTCACTTCACCCAAGCTAGGAAAGCGTCTTATAAAAACCCCTTGAATGTTCAGACTCCGAGATCCGTGCATATTGGTGCCTGTTCTAGCCGCACATGCCGTGTCTGTGTTCCATGCTGTGCGGAAACAAATGAGTTTTGCTTTATCCCCATGATGGATCTAAGTTCAGAGCAAACATTGTTGTGATGGATGGGAGGGGCACTGGCCTTTTCTAAACATCCCACCGCTGCCACCATGTCCGGGCTGGTCCCCACTCTGGCACTCCGCGTGCAGAAGGTGGGATCCACAAGACACTTTAAAATACCCTGTGTCTAAAGGCTTCTGTTTTAAAGCCTCTCCAAGGTCACAGATTCCCTGGCACTGGGACATAAGATAACATCACCCAAGTAAAAAAACCCTCTCAATTCAAATTTCAGTACTTCCCATTGGTTCTGCTGGCTCCTCCAATATTTTCTACCTAGGAGAAAATAGTTTCCTGAATGCTAGGAGAAAGGAGAGGCTGCCTCCATTTGTCTGTGTGTGTGTGGCAATGGCAGCAGGCCTGTGGGGGAAGAGTTTCTTTCTAGTCTTTTTTTTTCAGATGGTGCCTCTCAGCCTGTGCTGGCTGGGGACAGCGTGATTGTTCCAGAATTGGTTCTGGATATAGCTGAACCCCAGAAAGGTTTTTTTTTTAACTTGGAAGGTGGCAGCCTCTCTCCCATAGTCAGGGAACTTGTGCCCTCAGGGTATGTCTACACTACAGCGTTAATTCGAACTAACGCGTCTAGAACTAAAAACTAGTTCGAATTAGCATTTTGCTAATTCGAACTAGCAAGTCCACATTGAGTGGACTCTGAACAGGGCTTAAGGCTGGCCGGAAGCAGTGCCGGCAGGGCATTAGAGGACTTAGAGCGTGGAGCTGCTGTCTCAGGCTAGCCGAGGGCTGCGCTTAAAGGGTCCCGACCACCACCCCCGACAGAC